CAAGGGCCTGAGTTCAATCTCTGGTTCTGCAAACAAAAATAGATTCTTAGCCCATCTTGAAAAAAAAAAAAAAAAAAAAAAACTACAGTTCATAGTGTTGAAAGTGGTTTGTTTCTGGCAATTTATAAACTCCCACTCCCAACCAGAGACTTATGAGCTAGTACAGATTACACTACTACCCTTTTGTGGTTTTATTCTGAATTAGGTATCCAAGTCAAGTTTTATAAACACCATTGAAGACATGAATTACCATTCATAGTGCAGACTTGGTCTTAACTAAGAAATTTACTGAATAGCACTTGTCCTTACTCCCCAAATATAGGGGAAAAAAGAACCACTTTCAGTTTATTCAAAAGAACTCCACAGAGTAATCTATTTATTAAAGGCCAGTTTATTCAGTTTCACTCACAGAAAGGCAGTACAGTGTTGAAGTGTACCTCTGTTTCAAGTTCCTTTATCCACAAAAAGCATAATGTCTATGTACTTGGGTGTTTTATTTTTTTTAAGATGGATTTGCCATACTCAGTGATCCTGAGTCTTGGAACTTAACTTTCAAGTAAAATATTCAGTTTGTAGAGTTTGTCATACGATTTTTTTTTTTTTTTTTTAGATATAGTCTCACTGTGTAATGCAGGCTGACCTCAAACTCATGATGATCCTCATGCCTCAGCTTCTAGAATGGTGCGATTACAGGTGTGCGCCAGCATGCCTGGCTTAATAGATATAGATAGATAGATGATAGATTGATAGATAGATAGATAGATAGATAGATAGATAGATAGATAGTTTTGTTTTAACCAGGAATCACTCAAGGCCTTACACTTGCCAGGCAGGTGCTGTGCAGATGAGCTAAATCCCCAGCCCTCATTTGCTTTTTAAAATGGGATTAAACTAAAAATAAGTGAGACAGTTGAACACTATTTCTGAGTATAAATACTATAACTGATGCCATGAACATATATATTTTTCTCTCCTCCGTTTCTCTTTGAAGGTCTCAGCCAGTGTCTTCTCCAGTCGTCCTCCAGTTTGGTCATGCAGAGACCCTTCTTCCACTGCTTTCTCTCATGGGCTACTTCAAAGACAAGGAACCCCTAACAGCTTATAATTATAAGAAACAAGCGCATAGGAAATTCCGAAGTGGCCACATTGTACCTTATGCCTCAAACCTCATATTTGTGCTTTACCATTGTGAAAATGCTACGACTCCTAAAGAAGAGTTCCAAGTACAGATGTTATTGAATGAAAAGGTGTTACCCTTGGCTCACTCACAAGAAACTGTTTCTTTCTATGAGGATCTGAAGAATCACTATAAGGACATCCTTCAGAGTTGTCAAACCAGTGAAGAGTGTAAATTACCAAAGGTAAACAGCACATATGATGAGCTCTGAGTAAGTGGAGAACATTTTTAGTTCGTCAGTGCTTTCCTTTAGGGACTGATTTCATGTTTGTAGTAGGTAGGCAATTCCTTGATTACAGAGAGCTTTCATATTACTGGGATATTTCTGTCTTTTTTGCAGAAAAGTGTTAAGTTTCTTTGGGGATCTGGAGATAATAGGTAAACGATTCTTCACTGGAGCAACTCTGAAGGAAAAAACTACTTGAAGAAACAACCAGCATTGCAGATATACAGAAATAAAAAATTTCTGCTTTATGTAAGAAACCTCATACTGAGGTATAGAATAGGATTGGAAAATGAAACCTGAAAAAGGCTGAACTGTCAGCATATAATGTTAATTGGATGATCCATAATTTGATTTAGCCAAGTCAAGAAACTTTTATCAATTGTACTACAGTTCTCTCTTTGTACCTCATGTGGGACAGTTCTAATGTTGTCTTTTTTATCTGGAAATACTTTGATAACCTGAGATTATCACCTTGGAAGAAAGCTAACATCTATCTGAGACTGAAACAGTGTTAATAAATGGGATGGTTTAAAAGGATATTTTCACTGAAGCAAGACAAAAAGGACAATAAAATAAATATTTTTGTTAATAGTATTTATAAGCTATTTGAACAGTTTTCAAAAATTTTCCTTTGGGCTGGTGAGATGGCTCTAAAGTGGTCTAAAGCACCTACTTAGAACAAGCTTAGCAAAGCACAGGGACCCTGGTTCAATCCCCCAGCACCACATGCCAGCCAGCCCCGCCCCCAGGTGGGCTGAGCTGGACACACACACACACACACACACACACACAAATAAATAAATTTTTTAAAAATGAGGTAGGCTAAAAAAAAAAAAAAATTTCCTTTAATTTTCTGGTAAGAGATTGCCAGGACATTTTAAGTTATTAGCAAACCTGGTTTATGTCTATCACAGTGGAAGGATGAAGAGGACCACTAGCAACAAGTCAGATGGTTAGAATCAAAGTCTTCACATTTTTTCCTTAGCTATCTCATTACTTGATTTCCATCTATGTTCGTGGTATAGTGGTGAACATAGCTGCTTTCATTACTTGATTTCCACTTTTCTATTTTGTTATTATGTGAAATAAATTAGTTGTTTGATTTCTTTTTCTTTCCTTTTTTTTTTTTTTTTTTTTTAAATATAAAGACTGCCCTGGAGGTTTTAGTATCAGTAATTTGAACCTTTTTAAATATATATATATTTGGTACAGGGTCTCACTACGCAGCTCAGGCTCGTAGGGATCTTTCTGTTTTCAGCCTCCCCAGAGCTGGGATTACAGGCATGCGCCACCATGCCTAGACTCAGTGGCCAGCTCGGCACGCCACCGGGGAAAGGCCAGCGCAGCAAGTGGGGTGGCCTGGTATGTGGTACCAGGATCAAACTCTGGTCCCTGCGCTTGCCTAAGCAGGTGCTTAGTCTGCTGAGCTATCTTGCTGGCCCTTAATTTGAACCTGTTTGAGAAAAAATTTAGAGTTGTGTCAAATGCTATTAACACATTTGCTACTATAAACAGAATTCTTTTTTTTTATTTTTATTTTTTTTGGTGGTACCAGGAATTGAACTCAGGACCTAGCGCTTGCCAGGCAAGCACTTATTCTACTGAGCTATCTCCCTAGCCCTATAAACAAAATTCTTGCAACTTTTTTACAGGTCTTTCTACCCTCATCAGAATTCAGTCAGTCACTAGTGTTCAAGGATTTCAATTTCAAGCAGCGTTGAATAATCAAGAAACATAAGGCAGCTTTATTCTAATAGAAGTTTCTTCAAACAAATAGTGTATTAGTGAATTTTTCTGCTGCTGGTGCAAATACCTAGCACTTGCAACTTAAAAGAGGAGTGGTTTGACATGATTTACAGTGGTGGTGAACTTCTGGTGCATATGTTATTGTACTTGGTTTTCTTTTTTCTGCTTGTTTTTCTTTTAAGGTAACATATTAACATATGATTTTTTCTAAAGTAAAACATCAGTATTCAGTAAATATATATATATATATATATATATATATATATATATATATATATTTGCTTTTGTGTGGTCTATTCACAAAATTGGCATTTTGTGATAAATAAGTGGATTTTAGAGTGCAGTTTGAGCACTTGTCTCTTAAAGTTTAGCCGTTACTGGCTTACAGTTTCAGAGTTCAGTCCATATTAGCTGACTCCAAGGCAGAGACATCACAGCAGAAAGGTATGCTGGAGCGAAGTTGAATAGTTTGTGGAGGCCAGAAAGCAGAGCGGAGGACAGAGGCAGAGAGGAAGGGACCAGGGAGCAGTTAGAGACCCCACACGGCCGTGCCTGTGTAACCACCCAGATGTGCCAGAAGCATGCTGTGCTGACATTTCGTGTGGCTCCATCAGGCTGACAATCGAGTTTAACTGCCACACGTAGATTCTTAATGCATTTGATTCACAGTGAAGATAGTATCTTTGAAAAGTAAAGTGAAGACTTTTGCTTAAAAAAAAACACTTTTATGAAACAGAATGCAATAACTCCTTCCTGGAATTAATTTTTCAGTACTTCCTTTTTAAGAGAATAGACCACTAAAAACAAATATATATTAAGGATATGCATCTGTCTAGGTACAAATTATGTATTATGTGCTACTTAGATTAGTACACTTTCAGGCAAGTTTAAGTTAAAGATGGAAAAATTAGTTTTAGGATGGTTTTGTTTTGTGGTGTTGTGTTTTGCTAATGTTACTGGAGACTGACCCTGTGCTGGGCAGGATGTTGGCCCTGAGCTGCATCCTGCCTCTTTTTTATTTTGAGACAAGATCGTGCTAAATTGCTCAGCTGACCTTGAACTTGGTGTTCTCCTAGCCTCAGCCTCCTAAGTAGCTGGAATTAGAGGTGTGCACCAGCATTTCCTGCCCATTTTACAGTTTAAAAGAAATAGGGCAGGGATTTTATAGTAGCCTAGTGGTAGCATTTGCCTGCCACTTGTTGAAGGCTCTGAGTTTGATCCCAAGCACCATAAAGGCAGGAATCCTTTTAGTGTCATGAGTCAAAATATTTTCTAGTTAATGCTTAAATTTTTTAATCAATGGAATTATATACTTACTAATTTAGAGATAAGATTAAAAATCTTAAATGCTTTCTTGCAAAATATGACCTGGATATCTTTATAATTATATTAGCTGTTGGATAATGTCACTGTGCCAGATAATCCTTCAAAGCTACTTGAATGGATTTTCTAAGGTTAAAAAAAAAAAAAAAGTTGTAATAATGAGTCAGCAAAAGAAGCAAGATACTTGTGCTGTTTAATGATGAGGGTAACATTTTCGCAAACAGTATTCCAGAATGGAAAGTATTCAGAAATGGACATGATACCAATTAATTCATGTATTTATTCTCCCAGAAACACTTTCTAGAAAGACAATATTAAGGAAAGAATGCTGAGTTCAAACCACAAGGTTCCACTGGAAAAAGCTGGGATATATTATGACAAGCAAATGTTGTAGTAATGTCCATTTTTCTAACTTGTTTGACCTGAGAATTTTTTTTCAAGAAAAACCTCTTATGACTATTGTGAATGAGTAGCTATTCAAAAATTTTTGGATTTAACTATGCTGTTTGGAGCTAAGGAGATAGCTTAGTGACACAGCACATGTTTAACATGCAGGAGGACCTGACTTCTATCCCCAGTGCTAATAAATAACTAATAACTAAATAAATAAACCATGCCATTTTGGTTTCTTTCAGTTGAGGAAATGGGGAATCATGAAGTAAAATACAAGTGGGGAAAAAACATACACAGTTGTAAATCAACACAAAATATGTAAGATTGTTATTGTTTTCTTAAAGTACTGCTTTATGATTTAATTTTCACTTAATAAAAAATGGAAATCAATTTATTAAATCTGAGGTTTCAAAACTACATATTTACATTGAAATTAGAAAAGATGCATAAATCATTGCACCTCAGGTGATGTTCATAAGGCACATGAGCTGGCGAATGCTTGATGCAGCAGTGTTCTCACAACTCATGTTGCTGCAAATGCTGGTTGTCTTGGCTGTTTTTCTCATTTGTACTTATGTGGATAAAAAAATGAATCGATAAGCACTCACACTCATCCTATTTTATCAAAATTTATATTGTAGAATTTATTTTACATCTGAATAAGAACAGTTTTGGAGAGTCTTTTGGTTTGATTTGGGGGTTTTTTTGTATTTACTACAGGGCCTATGGGGTCTCACCTCACAGATCAGACTCATAGTGATCCTCTTATTTTCAGCCTCCCAAGCACTGGGATTATTGGCGCATGTCACCACACCCCGTCTAGTTTTGAGTATTTTATATATCTCCCTGATACTGTTTTTCTCAATATTTAGCATTCCATTACTTGCTTTGAAAATTTGTGGAGCTGGGGAGATAGCTTGGCAGTCTAAGCGCCTGCCTGACAAGCACAAGGACCCAGGTTTGATCCCCAATAGCACAGGCCGTACAGGCCCTGGAACGCCAGGTACGAGGTGCTGCCACAGAAATGGGGCATGGCGACACATGCATGTAATCCCAGTGCTAGGGAGGCTGAGGCAGAAGGAGCACTGCAAGTCCGAGCTGCATAGGGAGACCCTATATCAAATAATTAATTAATTTTTTTAAAAAAATAAAAGAATACTTGTAATAATGTTGTAAATATTGAGCCAGGGAGATAGCTCAGTGGCATAAGGGTGTGCTTGGCAAGCTCAGGGTTCTGAGTGAGATCCCTGGTACTGCAAAGAAACAAATTTTGTGAAAGTTTTAAATTTTTTATATTATGCTGGAATAAGAGATTTAAGTGCTGTTTTCCAAAAATCCTGGTCATTTTGGCAAATTAAAACTTTGAATTCATGAATACCTATAGAGTGATTTTTATGTATAAACAGATATAATCTGTGTACATATAAAAATAAATAAACCTAATTATTTTACTCAAGGAGACTGTCTTTTTAAAAATGTAAACAAACAAATTTAAGTCTGGCACAGTGACACATTGCTGTAATCCCAGCACTTGGGAAGCAAGGCAGGAGGATGGCTGAGTTTAGGCTAGCCTGGGCTAAGCAAAATCATGTCTCAAGAAAAACCACTATAAATGAAAGAAACTACATTTAAAAACCTTAAAAACAGATTTAGTTGGTATCTCACACTAACTTTTTATTTTTTGAAAGCTTTATAAAATAACAGAGTGAAAATTTTATTAGAATTGTTTAGTTTCATTGTTAAATAGTCATGTAGGCATCTCTGACTATACAAAAGTATATAGCCAAATTGGTACCAGGTATGGTGGTGCATGCCCATAATCTTTTTACTCAGGAGGCTGAGACAGGAGGACTGCCACAAGTTCGAGGCCAGCCTGGGCTACATAGTGTATACAAGACTGGCCTGAACTATATAGTGTGGCTGAGTCTTAAAAAAGAAAAAGTATATAAACATATCAGGATATAGGGTAAGCAGGGTCCAGTTTTGCTTATATTGTAGACATTGTAATACTATTATGGTGCTGTCCTCATTTAGGACATGCCTGAGACTAAAGATTTGTGATAAAAATTAAAGATGTTGTTTAGAAGAGTTGAATGTTGAGTCTTTGCCTAACAAATATCTATTCATAATAAATGACAAAATATTAAATTGGGCCAAATTT